ATTTTATAAAAAAATTAGTTTAAGAATATTACAAATGAAAAGTAGGGAGTTATCACCAAGCTTTGTAGCAGAGATGGATTGCAACTGTTACTTTCATCCTCGCATCTTGTGTTCGAATCCCATAGATGTGTTTTTTAAAAATCTTCAAAAAAAAATTAAAAACTATGGTAAATATTACTCCTTCCGTCCCCCATATATCTTCCCAATATTCCTTTTTCTTTGTCCAAAATAGATTCCCATTTTATTTTTTAACAATTAAAATACCACAACTACCCCCACTTACTTTATTTATTATACCTCACCCACCTCATTTAATATACTCCATCCATCATAGTTACAGTGCATCCATGGAGGGTAAGTCAATACTATTGGTTAATTTATCTCTTATTATTGTTTATCTCTAAGGAGTTTCACTTCATATTATGACAGATAGGAGCAACATTTCTCTTAGTTCTCCTCCTTCAATTCTAGTTCTAGCTATTGGTGCAATTTATTATTGGGCCTCAAATAATTTCTATCTGACAAGGGTGCAGATGTTAGTTGTTTGTTTATGAAAGGTTTATGAAAGGAAAGGTTTTGAATTGAAAGCACTCAGTTTATTTCGTTTGATGCAAAGTAAAGGCATCCGCCCCAATTTTCCTTCCTTAATTAGCGTACTATCAGTTTGTGCAAGCCTTGCGACTCTTGACTGTGGTAGAGAGATACATGCATCACTGATCAGATCCAAGTTTGATGATGATGTATATGTCTCGTCAGTGTTGATCACGATGTATTTTAAATGTGGTGAACTTGTCAGGGCAAGAAGCGTCTTTGACAGATCATCTTCTAAAGATACTGTCATGTGGAATTCTATCATCACTGGTTATGCTCAGAATGGTTTAGGAGTAGAAGCTCTTGATTTCTTTACACTATGTTTGGCTAAAGGATTTTGGAAGGAAAAGAAAAGAAAATGGTTTTCTCTCATTTTCCTCACCAAAATGGAAGGAATTTGATTTTCCCTCTACTAGGTACATTTTACCTCCTCATTTTCTTTTCCTTCCACTTTTCCTTTCTTTTCCCCACTAACCAAACAAGAAAAATGGTTTTCCATTTCATTTTCTTTTCTTTTCCCTTTCAAATTCCTTGAACCAAACATAGTGTTAGAGAAATGTGTTTGCAGGGAATTGCACCAGACGTGGTTACTTTCGTGGGACTCCTGACGGCCTGCAGCTACACTGGAAAGGTGAAAGAAGCCCAAGATATATTTCATTCCATGAAGTCAAAATACCTAGTAGAACCAGAAACTGCACATTATGCCTGCATGGTGGATCTACTGGGTCGAGCTGGTTGCTTGACTGAGGCAATCGATTTGGCAGAAAAAATGCCCGTGGCAGCTGATGCAGTTATATGGGGTTCTTTGCTTGGTGCTTGCAGGATGCATATGAACTTGGATTTGGCCGTTGAATTGAAAATTAAATTTTATGCATTTGAATTCTCCAATTCCAATTCATTTTTTGTATCAGAAATTCCAAATTCACATATTTTAGTGATACCAAACAACATAATTGGAATTGTTGTCTCTAATTCCAATTCTAACGTTTGAATTTCGTGTACAGATGGAGTCTAATTCTTTGTTATTAGACTTAAAATCATAACATGTGGAATTTTAATAGTCATATATTTATATTGGTAATGAATGTAGTTTGGTGAAAGAACTGAAGTTAAACTGCAATAAATGAGAAGAAGAAAAACCGTAAGGGTCTGTTTGGGAATAGCGTTAGAGATTAGCGTTAGCATTTTGAATAAAATTTTTAACGATGTAAGTTACTTTGAAAATGCTAACGATAAACGTTGCCCGTAGATATCCTTTTCAAAATGTCAATGTTATTAATCATTAACATTATTCCTAAACAGACTTTAAGGCTATGGGATATGCCCACGGGAAGGCCTTGCGGGAAGGCAATGTGGCAGCGGGAAGGGAAGGGGAACACTGCTCTCCTATGCGGGAAAGGAGGGGTCCCCTTCCCGTTCCCGTCCGGCTCCGTGTGTTCTAGTTTGTAATTTCCGAGTGTTTACGAAGGTCATATTTCTTCTCTTAATAAAATCCATTTGAAAGCCAAAAAAAATTAAAAATTCAAAAAATTCCTTATTTAAACACCCTCCCCTTCAATTTCTTCTCCATTCTTCACCTTCACTTTCAAACAAAAAATCCATCTGGTTTTGCCACAATGCTGTCTCCTTCATCTGATACGACGATGAGATAGACGACTTCTTCTTTGGATGTAGTCAAAACTTTGTGCATAAATGTGGTCGTGGAGGCGACAAAAATTTTATCCGGACAGGTAGAAAATAGAAATACGTCAGAGCTAAGAAAAAGAAATGCATTGTTGCGACGAGATCAGATTGGTATACAAATATAAATCCTTCATACGATTCGTTTTTTTAAATCCTAATTATATTTAAATTTTCATACTATTTTTTGCTATAAATTATGTTATGCACACCGTAGGTGGTCACGACCGACTTGTGGCAGATTACTTTGCGGAAAATTCGATCTACAATAACAAACAGTTTAGGCGTCGCTTTCGTAAAAGTCACCATCTTTTTCTCCGCGTTCTCGATGATTTGGCACATACAGAACCTTCTTTTTATTCTACATGCGGGTGGCAGACTGAAATTGGGTTTTAGTACCTTGCAAAAGTGCATCGCAACGGTTCAACTACGTGCAGACGACACGTCCATGGACACACGTGATTATCTCAAAATGTTTGTGAGAACGTTTCGTGAATGCTTGTAAAAGTTTGCAAAATGGGTCATCAAGTTATACATCAAACAAGATTTACGAAGACCAAATCAAAAAGACGTTCAAAATTTGTTCGCTGCCCAGGAAGTGAGACATGTATTTCCCAACATGCTTGTCAGTATTGATTGTAAGCACTAGACGTGTCGAAATTGTCCTAATGCATGACAGGTCAATTCACATGTGGGGATCACATGTTGAAACACGGGTTTATCACATTTTCGTACTAAAGCCGTGTTCGTTGTTATGACAGGTTTTGATAATGCCAAACCGCCGTGAACGAGACAAGTCATTGAATATACAAGGCGAGAACCAAAGATGAGAAGAAAGAGAACAAGGGCCAAAAGAAGACCAAGAACGAAGACCGTAGTCTTAGTGTCGTTGAGTCGGTCACAATTGTGATCAAGATCGACCCAACCTTTACACCTTGGCTCCTTAGGCTAAAATTCTTTTCATTGCATATCATACATCATAAAAATGTTTTTTCAAACATGTTTAAAACATTAAAAACACTTGGTTTTCGCCAAAACAAAAACCAAGCCATCCGGCGTTCGGGTTTCAGAAACCGGTGTTCGGCATTCAATCTTCGGTGTTGGTTTTTGGCGTCCGAACCAACCAAGTGGTTTTCTACTTTTTATGATTGGTTTTTACTTCTGGGCACATTTAAATAGTTTTTCATTAAAAACATTTCAAAAATCACCTTTCGTTTTTTGTCGTTTGATAAAAACCATGTGAAACGACATAAACTTGGCTAGCCGAGGTTTTTACTTAAATAAAGTGGTTTTCGAGTCTTTTGTGTGTAAATTGTTTTTGAATGCATTAAAATGGTTCTCCAATCAAAACATCATGAAAACCACCTTTCGGTTTTGTCTTTTGGTGAAAACCACCCGTGTACGGTGTTGACTTAGTCAACTGTGGTTTTTACCTTAACGACGTGGTTTTCAACTTACAAAGCTTGTTTTGACATCAATATACATTAAATAAGTGTTTTATATACTTAGTTTTTACTTTGGAGAACTTTGCATTTTTCGGTCAGGTTTTAGCACCGGTCGGCTAGGCCATGGTTCTGGGCTAGCCATCTACCCAGCGATGGTAGATATCACCCAGCCATGGGTAAGTGATTCCGGGATTCCAGAATCATGCCACCCAGCGATGGGAGATATTACCCAGCGATGGGTAAGCAGCCTTCAGCCCAATTGAATTCCAAAACCATGCCAAAAAGCGATGGGAAGCTCTACCCATCGCTGTTCAAGCCTTGGACCAATATAATCGCAAGGCAGAATGCCCTTACCCAGTGATGGGAACCTTTACCCATCGATGGGAACTGGCGATGGGAGGACATACCCATGGCTGGGAAGGCATGACCGTTGTGAGTCATTTAAGGCTGATTCTTTCCTTGTTTGGAAGTCAACCTCCCACCCAGCGATGGGAAGCTTGTACTCATCGATGGGTAGGTAACCGTTGGCTTCAAAACTGAAGGAAAATTGGCTTACCAGCAATGGGTAAGTTCCAAACATCGATGGGAAGCCAATATCCTGCAGATCCCAAATCTTTTCAATCCCATAAATCAAGCCAATCACCCCTTTAATGCATTGGTCCGTTGGAGCCTATTTTTGCACTATAAAAAGGGGTGTTTGGGTCTGCTTTACACACCAATTTCACTTCACAATATTCATACTTTCATTGCATTCAAATAACATCATTTTCCATAGCTTTCTAGAGCCAAATTGTGTGAAGTTTGAGTTGTTCTTGAGCGTACTTAGTTTACTCATCATCTACTCTTAAAGAGTCTTGTTCTTGAGTGTTTAGTGTTGTATACACGTTAAGGGAAGCTTGTTTCCCTTGGTTGTACGAAGGAAAGGTATTTTCCTTCGGGTTGAAGTCTTGGAGTGCGGGATCTCTGAGCAAGTGTTGTTGAGGCTCGTGGGACTCGAGTTCTCAGGTTGTAACGGTTTGTTAAGCACCCGTAATCTTAACGGAAGTAGTGTAGCTTGAGAGAGTCTCTCGGGAGACTGGATTAGCCACACGTTGTGGTGAACCAGTATAAATCTTGGTGTGCTCCCTTTACGCTTTCAACGCTCTTTACGTTTCACGTTCCTATTTTTTTATTACTGCGATTTCTACGATCAAACGCTATTCACCCCCCCTCTAGCGTTGGTCCTTTATTCTAACAATTGGTATCAGAGCCTAACTCGCGTCCAAACTTAACCGTTTGAGAGTAAAGCGATCATGGGTTCTTCTTCTAGAAATTTGTATGCAGGAATAGGTGAAGGGCAATCAACCACACGGCCACCTCTTTTTGATGGAACCAATTATACATATTGGAAAGAACGAATGAGAATCTATATTCGTTCCACGAACTTCCAATTATGGTTGGTTATCAAAAACGGGGAAGAGGTGCCGATGAAGAAAGTCGGAGACAAGTTGATCCCCAAGACCGAAGACGAGTTTGATGCCGAGGACATCAAAAAGGTCGAGAATTATGCAAAAGCAATAAACATGCTTTATTGTGCCGTAAATCCTGATGACTACCGCAAGATCTCTTGCTGCTCAACCGCCAAAGAGATGTGGGATAAACTTGAGGTGACGTACGAAGGAACGGACCAAGTACGTGAAGCCAAGATTGACTTCCTCACCCAAGAATATGAGATGTTCAGGATGAAGGAGCACGAGAAGATCGA